TTAAATTTTATAATTAAAATTCCTATTCTATTGTATCATTTATTGAAATAAAATTAAAAATAAAATTTTAATTTTTTCTTAAAAAGTTGTAATTAATATACAATTATATTATCTATTGGAATAAAACTAAAAAATTAAATAAAGGGTCTAAGTTATTCATAATAGAACATAAATTTTTTATCCAAAATTTATGTTTTATTATATCATTTATTGAAATAAAATTAAAAATAACAATTTAGTTTTTTTTAAAAAAATTATAATTAGTATATAATTATACTATTTATTAGAATAAAACAAAAAAAATTAAATAAATGATCAAATTGTAATTGACACGATATCTTTTAACTTTAATTGGGGTAGTTTGATATTTTAATTTGGTCGTTTAAACGACCAAGTTAAATTCCAATAGACAATATAATTGTATACTAATTACGATCTTTTAAAAAAAATTAAAATTTTATTTTTAATTTTATTTAAATAAAAGATAAATATAACATAAATTTTAATCATAAAATTTAAAATATTTGATATTTTATCTTTAATTGAAGTATTTTTGGTCTAACTATGACATTTTAAATTTAAGGGGTCTAAGTATTATATACTTATAAACTTTAAACGAGTCTAAGCGTAATTTATTAATGGATATATTTACAGCAGAGGTTTAAGTGTTACATGCGTACAAACCTCTAGGGTCTGTGTATAATATTTTAAATGTCAGGAGGTCTAAGTAATTAAGTGTCAAATCTCAGGAGGTCTAGGTATAATTTTTCCTAAAATTTATGATTTAATTAAATTGGAATGGACTCAAAGAATTTGTTTGGATGAATTTTGAAAAGGAGTTTGGAGTAAATTTTCTAAACTCAAACCCTTATTTGCAAAAATGAGATTCAATATTCAATCCAATTAATACTCATGTTTGGTATACAACACATATACATGTAGGACTCACGGATATATCATAATTATTAACAAATATTTATCTTTTAAATGACTATTTTACCTTTGATCAATTAAATTCATATACATGTTAAGGGATACAATTATCTTTTAGATCATTAACTCCTTACCTATTTTCCCAAACTCACCATTCCCCTAGATTTGATAAAATTTGTGATCATACTTTAACCTTTGGGTCAGCTACGGACCTGGTTTGAAAACTCGAGATTAAATTTTTCAAACAATCATGGGATTTGAAGAAATTTTGGACTATATTCTCAAAACCCATCTCGTCAAACTCCTCGTACCTCCTCACCAAACAGCCTCTGAAATTAGATTAAAATCTCCGCAATCCTAGCTACAACCTTGAAAAAAAAACTCAGTTAATTTCGATTATCTTAATTTAAAATTATTTTTCATTTTTCCTAAATTTTAATCACCAAACTTTAAACCACCAAACCCCACCCATGGATCCCCTCATGAACGGTGGAGATTGAAATTAAATAGAATTTGATAAATTTAAAAACGATGGCATTACAGTAATTTCACAAAAAACAAACTCATAAAAAGTCGGCACCAGCAAGTAGCAACATCACTTGTCATTGAAGAGAAAAAAAGCTAGAAAATGTCCGACTCCTCCCAAGATCCTTGTTCTTCTCTCTCTTCTCTCGCCACCCTCCTCAATTCCCTCAAGATCTTCCCGAGAAACTATCAACTTTTCCTTTCCATTTTTGCCCTTGCCACCTTCCCTCTCTCTCTCCTCCTCTTCTGTCTCTCTTTCCTCTCCCACCCCACTAAGTCCCGCGTCCACCACCTCGAGGCCTTGGCCCTATTGACACCGACCCGTTTCGAGGCACGCCACGTCTGGAAGGAGTCACGTGCCGAAGCTCTCTCTCTCCTCCGTCTCAAGGCTCTTTTCTTCTTCCCATGCTACGCTTTCTCTCTCCTCACCGCCATAACCGTCGTTATCTCCACATACCACTCTTGCCCTGGCAAAACACCCACTTTGCAAACGGCGGTAACAGCCGTGAAAATCACCTGGAAAAGGCCACTGGTCACCACCCTATGCATTTACGTTGTCACCCTAACGTGTGGTGAAGTTCCGGGCACGTTAGCGGCTCAGATTAGCAACCCGATTCTCAAGCTCATCGTTATAATTATCGGGTCGGGCCTCGAAGTGTACACGATGGCAGTTACCAGTCTGGCATTGGCGGTTTCGATTACTGAAGNCTGAAGTTCCGGGCACGTTAGCGGCTCAGATTAGCAACCCGATTCTCAAGCTCATCGTTATAATTATCGGGTCGGGCGTCGAAGTGTACACGATGGCAGTTACCAGTCTGGCATTGGCGGTTTCGATTACTGAAGAGCAATTCGGGTTTGATGCTATAAGGGTCGGGTGGAGTTTGATGGAGGGGAGGAGGTTAAGTGGGTGGGCATTATCCGGTTTGTTTGTTTTGGTTTCGAATTTGATTAGTTGGAAGGTGGTGAGGAAGATGGATAGCTGGGATTTGTCGAAGGGAGTATCAACGGCGCTGGTGAGATGGTTGTGGGACAATGTGGGTTGGGAATGTTTGTATGGGTTGGTGGTGCTTTGGAGCTATGTTATTACAACGGTTTTCTATTGGGAGTGTAGGAGAAGGAAAGCAATAAAAGACGAAACTGATAGTGCAGTTTAGCTCGGATAAAATATATTTTTAGTCTGCGTTTAATATTTATTTAATTTTTAATTATATTTATTTAGTTCTTAAAATACTTAATTTATATGTATGTGTCACCATCAATCTCAATCATTAATTTTAAATTAAAAGATTTGTAATTATTTATTAATTTATATGTATGCATATCGCATTTTTATTTGTTATATAATAGGAGAGTATTTTAAAAAAAATATTTTTCGACACAGTAGTGTTACCCTTGAGTGCTTATGGTCCTAAAGAAGCCGAAAGAATGAGTTAAAAGGGAACTCCCAGAGAAAAAGGCATTGAAGATGAAAAAATAAGAAGGAAAGAAAGAAAGAAAGAAAAGGCAGAAATTGTTGTATTCTTTTGAGTACAAAATCGAAAGCTTTGTACGTGTCGTCACACCCAATTGTTCTTTTTAGTACAAATTGTCGTTCATTTGTGGAACTTGGACTGAAATATAAGATTCGGAAATGACCTTTTTTTTTGTGCTTTTTTGACACATGGACGGCTATGTTGCAGAGCATGCAGCTTTACTGATCTCACTTTAGCCTTGTAGATATTCACCACCTCCTTCGTAACATTATATCTGTATATCAAGCAAGTTAAAATTTTGATATTTTTTTAAAATTAAGTTATGAAAGATTTATTNCCTCCTTCATAAGATTATATCTGTATATCAAGCAAGTTAAAATTTTGATATTTTTTTAAAATTAAGTTATGAAAGATTTATTTATTATGAATATTTTAATCTCGTCTGGCCTTCGATTAAACTAAAGAAAAAATTAATCAAAATGCACATAAATTAGTCCAAACGCTCTGATCGTTGAACCAAAAAAATAAAATTATATGGCTGAAATTGGTTATGGCAGATTGATTCCTACACTTTCATTTTTTGTCTAATAAAATAACATGTGTGTTGTTTATTTAATAAATTTATTTTACTTTTTATTTTTTCAATCATTGAATTTAAATACATATGACTGCAAATTAATTTGATATANGTGCACATTAATTAGTCCAAACACTCTGATCATTGAACCAAAAAAATAAAATTATATGGCTGAAATTGGTTATGGCAGATTGATTCCTACACTTTCATTTTTTGTCTAATAAAATAACATGTGTGTTGTTTATTTAATAAATTTATTTTACTTTTTATTTTTTCAATCATTGAATTTAAATACATATGACTGCAAATTAATTTGATATAATACACAAAAAAAAAAGAGATAAAATTGATTTTTAACTCGGATAACAATTCATTGTCTCACATGTCATAGAAAATGAAAAATGACTAATTGGGTCAGACCCCATTAGGTAGGTCACTTAAACAGTTTTTAACCCTAATTATGATCTTTGTTGATGATATCGATACGAATTGATGAAGTTGTGTGAAATATGCTAAAAATAATATATGTTTTATATGAACCACAAGCATTACTTGATTTTTGGTTGGCATGGAGATATTTTGATCGACTCATCTAAATTGTCTGAATCATCTTTATTAAAATTGCAGCATGTGACTGGAATACCTTGCCATGATCAACTTTTTCTTTTATTTATTTCTTGTGTTTATCGCTTGATAAGGGCCGTTCGATTGATTAGATATGGGGCAGGTCATGGGCTTGGCCCTAAGTCCAACTTCNCATCTAAATTGTCTGAATCATCTTTATTAAAATTGCAGCATGTGACTGGAATACCTTGCCATGATCAGCTTTTTCTTTTATTTATTTCTTGTGTTTATCGCTTGATAAGGGCCGTTCGATTGATTAGATATGGGGCAGGTCATGGGCTTGGCCCTAAGTCCAACTTCAAGTTGGCCCATTATTTGGTGGGAATTCAAGGTCGTATCAGGCCCTTAAATAAGCTTGTATTTTTTTATGAATTTTTTCGTGCCCGTGGCTTTGTAATGATCTTTTAAGTCATAGGATTCAAACATTTNTATCAGGCCCTTAAATAAGCATGTATTTTTTTATGAATTTTTTCGTGCCCGTGGCTTTGTAATGATCTTTTAAGTCATAGGATTCAAACATTTATCCTTTGTAGTGATTTTTTTTATCTACGGATTGGAACAAAAAAAAAAAAAAATAGGAACAATGCAAAGGCCAGTCTTGGTTCAATATGAATATGACTGATTAGAGTTGACACAAGCAACTATAGATAATGGGCTTCTACGCCCAAATCTAATTCTCAATAAAGGCTTCCAAGTTCCAGCAAATCAACTTGAAATTGACTGCTACAAAGCTCACTGCCTGGGGGGAGGAAATTGTTTTGTTGATTATAACACTGTATGTTGTAANAATCAGGCCCTTAAATAAGCTTGTATTTTTTTATGAATTTTTTCGTGCCCGTGGCTTTGTAGTGATCTTTTTTAAGTCATAGGATTCAAACATTTATCCTTTGTAGTGATTTTTTTTATCTACGGATTGGAACAAAAAAAAAAATATAGGAACAATGCAAAGGCCAGTCTTGGTTCAATACGAATATGACTGATTAGAGTTGACACAAGCAACTATAGATAATGGGCTTCTACGCCCAAATCTAATTCTCAATAAAGGCTTCCAAGTTCCAGCAAATCAACTTGAAATTGACTGCTACAAAGCTCACTGCCTGGGGGGAGGAAATTGTTTTGTTGATTATAACACTGTATGTTGTAAAATTACTAAATTAATTGAATATAAAATAATTATTAACATAAAACTAANGACTTGAAATTGACTGCTACAAAGCTCACGGCCTAGGGGGAGGAAATTGTTTTGTTGATTATAGCACTTTATGTTGTAAAATTACTAAATTAATTGAATATAAAATAATTATTAACATAAAACTAAATGAGAGAAATTTTAGAGAATGCTCCAAGATTCTCTTTCTTTCAATTTTTCTACACACCCTTCGATTCATATCTGAATCCCTTTTTTTTTTTAAGTANAAATGAGAGAAATTTTAGAGAATGCTCCAAGATTCTCTTTCTTTCAATTTTTCTACACACCCTTCGATTCATATCTGAATCCCTTTTTTTTTTTAAGTATCTGAATCCCTTGTATAGGGAAAAATACAATGACATTTGGTATATGTGGGAGGTTAGATGACATGGGTATTAATGGTGGTGGGTGTGGTGTGATCATCCACCACATGCTATGTTTACAACATTCCATTTAATTCATCACCAACAAAAGTATTATTTTTTTATTTAATGTCAACTTTTATGTATTTATGAATTACGTTTTACTGGTGAAATTTACCTCAGTAAAATCATTTTTTGCGTAGTGACCCTTCAATTTTAGACACCATCATCATCACTTTCTTCTACTCTATAATTTGTATATAAATGAAAGATTTGCTCAACCTATCAATTAAATCTTATACATGAAGGTAGCCATTGAAAGTTTGAAGCGTGGTGGATTAGCTTTCATAAAAAAATTCCTAAATTCGTACGCACATCATCTCTAACATCACCCTAGGCACCAAATTTACCCGTTCAATACTTGTGGTCAACCCTAAAATCTGAATCAAATACGTTGCCTAATAAGAGGATTGGATTGCAGTCTCGTTTTAGGTCGAGAATCTTAATTTGTTTACAACATTAACAAAGCAACCATATATTGAAGATATGCATGATTTACCTATTCACATTGTTATATATCAAGTTGAGATTAGCCACGACTCTTGAAAAGCAAAACTGATAATTAATGGTATAACCAAAAGGTCCTACATCATACTGAAATAGATCGAAGAGGAAGAGTCTTTGATCAAGTTTGCTTACCTTGGTAGGCCCATCTCCTAAAGGGACGTTTTTCTAGTTTCTTAGACTCTGTCTATTTTGTGTACCTAATCTCTCGGACGGTGAAAATTTTATTTGTTTTAAACTTTAAGCTTTCTCTGTCATGATTTGATCCATGAAACTATTTTACTTACCGAAAAAAATAATGATCGCTGTGACAACATACTCCATGTCTAATAGTTTATGGAGCAACCCCCTAAATATTGCTTAGGTCAGTAGGTAGGTACCTG